AGCATGGCACAGATATAAACATGACCAACAGAAACAAAAGAGCATCAGAAACCATGAAATCAATGCAAAAGCGAGTGTCTTTATATCAGTAGGTGTGTTTTAGGAAACAAAATTGAAGTCACCTTGAGGGTGCCCTTGCAGTGGTGGCATCTAAAGCATGCCTTGTGGTAGACTTTGTTGTCAGCAGTGAGCTGATCAACCAAGTAGACAGTCTTCTCACATGCTTTGCACTTCTGGGTTGTCCCTGCAAATGTTGCCATCCCACCCAATAATCTTCTCTTCCCCACCCTCAAAAATCTCTCTGAACAAGACACTAACTTTTCTCAGACCCACAAACCAAAAACCTTTCCTTTTCCTGATTAGAGAAGACTTTATCTCTCTCTCTCTCTCTCTCTCTCTCTTTGAATTTGAGTCCAAGGTTTACAGCTCAGACATAATACAGAAAAATTTGCAAATGGCTTGTGATGCTGATGGGTGTTATTTTTGAACTTAGCCCAATCGAATTTCCTAGCTGTACAATAATGGGGGCCGTATGGTAATCTTCGTCTAAAGGTTATGATGGCTTCGGTTCCACCAAACCAAACTCCTATCAAAATGACCATTCTATCCTCAGTTAGGGACACGTGTCCTTCTGTTGAGTGGCTTATGATTCTGAAACAGTGAAACTATGATTGTTTAGACCAAGGTTTAGCACACAGATTCGAACATATCACGGTCTCTCTGTCGTAACTCTCGCGTCTAACTAATCTTTTTGGACACCACACAAATTTACATAACGTTAGCTAGCTACGAGTTAAAGCCAGTTTGTCAGCTCATTTTTTTTGCATTCAAGATTAATTTTCATTTTTCATAAATTAAAGTAGTGAAAAAACACAAATTGTGCTAGTAGGGTATAACTCAATTGGTTAAGCTCTTTCATCTCTATTTTCGTGAATAGAGATTCGAAACGGGTGGTGCTAGAGGCACCAACTTTCTAATAGAGGTGGAGCCCGCCAATACAACAGGTCCCACTCTTTATTAGAGAGTTGGTGCCCAAGTTGGTGCCTCTAGCATTTTCCGATTCGAAACCCTCAAGCACTCAATAACTTGTACTCAAAAGAAATGATTTCTGTTTAAATCTTGAAGTTAACGCTCCAAGAAGTCAAGTGGTTGTATATAGTATAATCACTTTCTAATTAAGTGGCATTTAATTATTTTTGAATGGAAAAGAAAAAGGAAAAAAACCACTGACCCAAAAGAAGAAAAAAGAAAAAAGGTACACCTTTGTTGTGGTGTGGTCAGGCCATATATATGACAGTGGTGGTGTATGATCTTCTTTTTGAATTTTTATGACATTATGTTATATCATAGGGGTCTGTGGGACAGATAATATGTTACATGCAGTGATGCATAATTCAGATTTTCACTGCAAAAAGCTAAATAATGCTCCCAATTTTAAAATGTAGCCTCAGCCCCACCTCTTTATGCCCTTTCCAATCTTATCAAACACTTTGTATGGTTCTTGATGGAGGTTGGTGTGAGAAGATTACAAATTAAAAATAAATAATAACGAAAAAACAGAGGAGAACAAAATTTTAATTTCTGACATCATGCACATTATTAGGCTTCCACAGATATGTTATTTTTCAAAATTGAATGTAAAGATACAAAGAGCAACAAGTGCCAAAAATGTCATATTCTCAACTATTTTCTCAAATTTTCTTACCAAATATTCTTGTTTTGTATTTTTCTTCTCTCAGTTATTTTCTTTATTGTTTTCTTTCTGAAGACTTCAGCCGCTTCTAATTTGAAGTCACATGGAACCATCTGGAAACAGCACATCATCTCATCGTCACTAGCCAATATATTTTTCCTCTGAGTAAGCCGCCACTAGCTAAAGTCAAAAACTTGCAAAACAAAGTATGCTTTAAATTTGAAAACGCCTTCCTAATCCTGTAGTTTTGGAACTGTTGTATCAAAACCGGCTTATAAAGGGAAAGGTGCTTAAGAGTTCTTGAATCATAACATTCCACCATACTTCCATCCTCGACGTTACCACTCTATCGATATGAGCCCAATAGTAGCCCATTTTTCTCCATTTTGAGGTGGCGTCACTTATTTACTAGTATTTAATATGTCTATGCATAATACCAACCACTATGATATCATTTCATAAGAGTCCATGGGTGGAGTGATCAATGTCCTTTCTCCTTGATATCATTTCTAGCCAGCATACCAAAAAAATGTAACCTCCCAAACGCCGCCATCATCACCTCACTCATGATAGTAGAAATAGTAGGGTATGGTGTTGCTGATTATGTAGTCTACATGCATAGCTAAGAATGCTAAATCATTGGAGAAAATTGTTGTTGATCGAGAATGTGGTATTGGGAATCTCAAGGGGGAAGAGTGCTCTAAAAGTTCTAAGATAAAATTTGTATGCCGGGAGTAAAATTCCGTGCTTAAAATTACCTAGAGATTATGCTGCAACAAGATGCTCTTCCATGGGCGTTGTGTTACAGTTTATGATAAAAAGAAATTGGGCTTCACAGAAAAGGATGTTAACATCTGTTGAAGTGTTCTCTTCTGGTGTAGTTTGGAAAACCTTTTGCTGATAGTCATGTGAAATGATGTTTTTGAGTTGTAGCACATAACGATGTTGGCTTATAATGTTTTCATGGTCTTCTTGTTAAACTGTTTTCTAGTAGCTCCCCAGCTGAGATTCTCTTTTCTTTGTTGGTAATCTCCATCTAAGGTCATGCGAGTAGAAAGCCTTCACAGTTTCTTCGAGAAAACGTATTAGGAATGCTACCCTTGGGTTTAAATTAGGCAAAACATTCAGTGCAAAAAACAGAGAACACTCAGCCGAATTCATGGAAATTGTTCTAAGATGCCTATAGAACAGATTTTATTAAGTAGCAAAACCTAAAAGAGATCAGAACAAAACAGTATTCCGAAAGCATAACAGCATAATCTGTTTTCTACTTATTTAGCACAATCAGATTCATTAAGTTCCAACATGGTTGGCAGACAACCAAAACACCACCAACATGCACACTTGATCATGCACTTGCACCTGAAGCCCCTGCCTGTTTCCTAGCCTCTTCTCGCATCACTGCTCTTACATATATTTCATAGCAGCAACCTGAATAAACATCAAAGACACATGAGCACTTGGACCACTGTAACAAGCAAAACAAGACAGCAATTCCTTGATATTGTCACATTAGCCAACACAAGATACCATATTAACTTCAATTAACAGTGAAAATGCATTCCATTATTCAACCTATCTTGCAGGTAGAAACGGAAGGGTTGAAATCAAAGAACACAAGATTATTAGTCAAAACAAATTTGAACAGCTGACCAAAACTAGTTTGGTTCTCTGATCAGGTCATGATGATCCTGATTGCTATTCTTCATTGTTGTCAAGGCCATTTACTCAGATAGAACAAAGTATTTATATATATTTTTCCATGAATATAAAAACAACAGATTCTCTCCCTAGTTTGGAGGTGGATAAGTGTGCGAATGTGCATGTGTGAATGCATGTGTGAATATAAACACACTTCGCAACCCCTAAAAAGCAAATGTCATTGTTGAGGGGAATGCAAGTTCTAAGCTTAAGCTAAGAGGGCGAGAAAATGTAACACCCCCCACCCCACCTCCCTCTTTATTTTTCTGTATGCTGGAAGTTTTCTGGTTTTACTGCAGAGTTTACTAACCAGACAATAAATGCAACCGAATCAGTTGATCATATATAGGTTAGACAAAGACTAGGAAAAATAACAAATCCATAAACATTATAACAGAACTGCTGGTAACATTTTTTTTTAATTTACAACAAAGATTCCATAAGACCAAGGCTTCATGCAACCAAGACGATTCAGAAAGTCACAGGAATTTTATAGGTAAGTCTAATCACAAGTATCATGGTAAATTAAATTTGTGAAAAGCAAGTGAAAAAGATAAAATATTCATAATCCATAAGCAAAAGCACTACGTACTAGCAACAACAACAACGGTAAGAACATCTCCAAGTCTTTTAATTCTCGCCACACCCTTCTTATGCGATTTGAATCGTTTTAGAGATGGGTCCTCTGCCAAGAGCTGCAAAAGTTAAACAGTCCTAGTCAAGCACAGCACAACTGAACTAGAAAAATACAAAACCAGCACAATCTTAATAAATTTGAGGTTTGATAATAATCAGAAACCGTCCACGCAAAGCCCCCAACTTTTAACATCTCTTGGTTTAAACCATCACTGAAATGAGCTCAAGAAGCTCTGGCATGAATATCCGTACAATTTTCTACAACTAAAACTGAAACTTTCAAGCTATTTGCTCAAATGGGTTTTTACCCTAACTATCTAAAATGCTAAAATACCAAATTTCAGGGACGAATCTCAAACACGACGATGAAACAAACAGCTGCCCACATCGAATTAATATGAAAGCAAACATGTATTGATGAAAAAAAAAATTAAGAGAGAGAGAGACTCACAGCTTTCTCGCGAGGCCCTGGTTCGACATGGAACTGACGGCGCGATTGGGAAAGCGAGTCGTTTTGTGCCCTCTGATTGTTCAAGTGAAAGAGTTAGATTTAGCGGGAGAGATTACAGAACCAAATGAAAACGACAGCGTTTCAGATCGAAAAAGCGAGGTAAGATTGAAGCGTACCTGTGAATGAGATTGGAAATGGGAAGTGATGGAATTGCAAAGCAGGAACGCCATGACTGATGAATCTGTAAGGACTCCGAAGACAAAAGAACCAAACTTTGTTTGGTGTTTGCGCAAAGACTCAAGCTTTGCTATCAGGTTCAATTTTGTATTTTTTAATTTTGCTGTGTTACCCCGATAGTTTGCGCATATTGTTTTAGGTTCCACAACCACGAGTTCGATTCGATGTTATGCTACTTTCCCAAATACTAGGCCACGTGTCTTACTATGGGTGAATCCCGTGCTGCCACGTCAACATGGTAGTTATGACCTTATGATTTATGAACCAGCGCAGTCCAAGCAAACTAACTTATGAATCTTTTGGGTTCCAAAATTTGCAAGAAGAAGAACAAATGGCATTGAGAGCAGCTGCTACAGCATGTAAATTTGGCGGAAGGCAGAGAAACCCAACTCTCTTTGCAATTCCTCTCTATCTCCAACCCAAGCTTCATCAGAATCAACCCCAAACATTCACATCAGCTGCTCCTATTCACCAACCTGGTGAGTGGTTTGGTTTATATGATATCAAAGAATCAAGAAGAAATTTTTGCAGTTTGCAAAATGGTTCAATTTTATGATGCATATTTATCCATTTGTAGGATTTAAATCTGCAATAAGGGCTGGGGCAGCTGCAGATCCCATAACTCCTCCCAAGAAAGGAGATGATCAAGAACCAACACCCCAGAATTGGAAGATTAAAATGCTTTATGATGGGGATTGCCCTTTATGTATGAGAGAGGTCAACCTTCTTCAAACACATCTTCTCGTCACTTTTCTTTTTATAATGTAAGAGTTTGATGAGTTTTGTGTGTATGGAGAATATGAATTGTTTTTATTCATAATTGAAGTTTATTATATTTTCCAGGTGGACATGCTAAGAGAGAGAAATAAGCTCTATGGTACTATCAAGTTTGTTGACATAAGTTCAGGTGACTACTCCCCAGAGGAGAATCAAGGGCTGGACTATAAAACTGTAAGTTTTGCAATGTTGAAATTTTTTTATACTTTAACTTACCATTTGCAGAATGTTCATGAAAGTGTATATGAAAAACATCCTAGCTTGAAAAATAGATAGATGCTAGAACATCTTTTTGACAGATATATTACAATTTAGTGACAAAGTCTTGCTTTTTTTAGGTTATGGGAAACATTCATGCCATCCTCTCCGATGGAACAGTAGTCACTGATGTGGAAGTAATCTCCTTTCCTACTATGTTTGAACTTCTAATTTTAATCTGCAACAAGTAGTTTTCTATGGAACTCTCATTCTCTGTACAGAGAATGCTATCATCAGCAATTTTGAACCCGCAAGTTTCTTTAAGCTGACTAACAGGCATTGGCTAAATAAACTTCTGCAGGCATTCAGAAAGCTGTATGAACAAGTAGGGCTTGGATGGGTATATGCCATAACCAAATACGAACCTGTGAGATTCCTTTGTCGATTCTAATGTTTCCTGCATTGGGATTCATCTACTTCCATCTTGTAGAACTGAGTGGTCTACAATAGTTTTCTTGTCTTGTTATCTTTAATCTGGGGTTCATGGAAAACATTTTGATCACAGATTGCAACTATAGCTGGTGCTATTTATGGTGTTTGGGCTAAATATCGTCTCCAAATCACAGGTAAATCATATCGCAGAAATAGTTTTTTTTTCATGGTTCTTGAGCAGAATAGATGTGTTCTTAGCTTCCATGGCCGAAAGGAATAGTATGATAATATTTGAACTCTTTTGCTCCGATATAATAGAATAAGTTAATAACAGAACCACACCAGACTTATGACTTACATGTTCAAATCAGTAACTTTTAGACTGTTGGAATTGGCAAATAAATCCTTTCTTGCATCTAACCAATTTTCTATCAAAAGAAGTTAAAAGAGTTCTTGAAGTATTACTTGCTATAAAAACCTGATCACTCACATCCATAGCTAATCTTGTTATACTTTTTCCTTTCTTAAACTTGTGGTATATGATGTCAATAACCTGTTTTTGTTTTAGGTCGACCGCCTTTAGAAGAGGTTTTGGAGTTGCGAAAGAAGAAGGTAAGCACCTTTCAATAGCATTTCCTTGCTATTATCCTTCAATACCTTTTATTAGATTTGAACCATAAGTTTCTGTTCGACATTAAACAGTCTAGAGCTCAGGTTTAGTTTTCGTTTCCTGATACAGGGCGAAGTATGCAAAGATGGAAATGCCTGTAAACTTCCAGAGTAACTGCTACTAGTCCAGATACTGAAAGTTTGGTGTTCCGTTGCTCCCATTTTCTATCATCTTCCAAACTTTGGAGTTTATATGAGCCCATATCAACTACTGGATTTCTTTTTTTCCTTTTTAGCTAGCACCAAACACTGGTATACTATAGAAAGGCATGGGGAGTTGCTCTCTCTTAATTGCCCCTGCTCTCTGCCTCAAGAAAAAGAATGCAGATGTAGTCTCTTTCCAAATTTAAATACCACTTGTTCACAGGAATGCAGATGTATAAAATTTCAAACTCATACATTGTTTTCCCAGAGTTATATGTAAACATACAATCTGATGACTGTAAAATGTTGATATGCTGAATTCTAGATTGCTTCAGTTTATTGTTACTTAGACTTCTTTCGGTGTCGAAAGTTCATTTTTACATTATTAACATGTTGCAAGTTCCTCCAACTACCAAATCTTCTTTCCCTATCCACTAAGAAGCTTCAGTATAAATTCATTGATGTTGTCATCTGAGGTTCCACCAATACTAACAGCTTTCTTTGCAGCCTCTCTCCATTTCAGGGAATTCTTTTTTATCTGTCCACTTATTTCTCCAACCATGACTTCCCTTATACACATCTCTAGCTCTTCCCTACTCACAATTCCCTCTTCATTTTTCTTAACTTTCACCCCAACCCCCCACAACTCCTCCACAAATTTGGCATTAGTTGGCTGGTCGCTCCACTGTGGCATTGCCACCATCGGCACGCCTAGGCTCAACCCCTCCAACGTCGAATTCCATCCGCAGTGAGTTATAAAATAACCCACAGCCTGGTGCGCTAGAACCTCTAGTTGGTTGCACCATGTCACCACCAAACCAGTTTCACCTATTGAGCTCAGGAATTCATCTGGCAATTTGGTCTTAGGCTCTTTCACAGCCCATAGAAAATTCTGATTACTTGCTTTCAAGCCCCATGCAATTTCTTCAACCTGTTTAGCTGCAATATCTGCCATGCTTCCAAATGAAATGTATATCACACTTTCAGGTGGTTTCTTCTCCAGCCATTTCATGCACTGGTCTGTAGTTGGCTTCCAAAGATTGGCTCCATAATCTGTGTCTCCTTCAATTTCTTGGTCCAAGTAGCTTGATGGCACCATTGGACCGATCATCACCAGGGGCCACAGTCCCAGCATTTCCTTCACGAGCTTTTCAACAGAGATGAATTAAAATAAGAACATTTAGAATTGCAATTACTTTACAAATAGGAAAAGTAAAGTACTGATAATATTGACCTTACCAAACTGATTTAGATCTTTGAATAAATATGAGTTTTATATCATCATCAAGCAAGTAAAAGTCAAACCTCTTTAAGTTTAGTGGTTTATACACCATCCACCAAATATTCTAAAAGGATTTAAACGACTTTTAGCCCTGAAATTTCTTAGCATTTGATTACTTTCAAAAGAGAGATGATATATCAGTTAAGATGTTTTTCATGATGCTTGTATATGAAAAAAAAAATTCATACAAAAATTATAGTTAATTTCTGACATATAATATAAAATTCCCACTCACCAATTTATTTCCTACTTAAAAGAAATAAACCCAATTTGTTATGTATTCTGGTACTCTACAAACTACTGAAATTAGTTGTTCAGCTAATTAAAGTAAGATCAAAATCTGAGTGAGAATATTGCACTAACCTCACTTTCCAACTCTTCAAAAGAGTTGCAGAACACCCAGTTATTTTCCTCCAGACTGCTAAACTTTTCCAAGATGAGAGCCAAATAGGGAGAGTGAGGAGCAGGCTGGGAAAGAAAACTTGGCAATTCAGAAAGAGCAAGTGGAGGAAGGCCAGGCATCAGCAAAGGCTCAGTTTCTTGCTTCACAGGAAAAGCCAGATGCCCATGAATGATATGCAAGTACATGGAGCAGACAGATGCTGAGTTTGTCAAGAACACAGCTCCATAGATATTGAACTTTTTGGCCACATCAATTGCCCAAGGAAGCAATGAATCATACACAATACAGTTGACAGGTGAGCCTGAGGCACTGAACTTGAGTATGAGCTCTGATAAAGTTCTTGAGCCAACTGTTTTGAATGAGTCTAAGTAGGCTTGTACACTTGAGGCTTGCTTGAATCCACTTTCATCATAGCCATCAGAGATGGGTTCAACTCCTACAGAGGTTTCATGGATGGATTTGACAGTGTAATGGGTGGTGGCTAGAGTGGCCTTGAGGCCTTTGGAGGCTAAGCGTTTAGCAAACTGGAGGAGTGGATTTATGTGCCCCTGAGCAGGATATGTGAGCACAATGACATGGCCTTTTTGGTTCTGCATTTCTTGCCTTTGATGCAGTTATCTTTGTGTTCTACCAATAGAGGACATATTTATAGGCAAAGCTTGAGGTTCCTTGAACCATTTTTCCATGGAAAATGGTGGCTGATCATAGAAAAATGGCTCCCCTAGTTGACGTTATTGGCCAGTGGACTGAAGGTAAGAGCAAGTCCACCGCAAGGCCTTTTGCCCGGCCAGGACAGGGCCTCGGCCTGCGAACAGCTCCAGCACGCAAGGTCAAGCCTGAGCAAGGCGTGGGACCCACCAACCCAAGCAAGGCCACAGGCAAGTCTAGCCCATGCTGCTGCCTGGGCAAAGTGATGGACGTTGGCAACCAATTTCTATAACTAAACATTGAAAAAAAAACTAAAAAATTCAGAATTTTTTTTATTATTATAAATACTTAGCCATATTCTTTACTTCCCACACCAAAATTTTATACAAATTCATCTCCTCATATCTCATGTGAATAGTAATTGCCCTTGTCCTTGTCCAGAAGGGTGCCTGCCCTTGCTCATAGGGGTGGAAGTGCTCTAACGCGTACCCTTTGCCTGTTACACTAGTTGCTACTATTGTTTGCATGTGAAGGCTGGTTAAGTTATTCAGTTTCAATAATGGTTTTGATCAGATCCCAACTTCAAGTTAGGAACTACAACTTCTTTCCCGATACTTTCTAGGCAGCACACAGGCAACAGAGAGAGAGAGAGAGGGTACATGTAAACTTGCATAGTTGAAGAGAAAGCTATCATGACTTGAAAATGGATACCTTAATTGAACAAATGATTTCGCAAAAATTATTTTTTTCGCAGCAAAGCTACTGAAAATTGGCATCCTAGCATTTCTACATATTTACAAATTACAACTTGCTTTGAGAGTTTATTTGTCTCTGGCTAGTGCCCAGCAGAACTAAGACTAGTAAACTACCAGATGTATTTACATCTAACAAAACCTCCAATAGATCTCCCTCTACACCTGCACTCGTAAATATTATACGGGCAGCACTAAACATTATTTGTAATTGTAAGCAAACAATTTACACACCAGATAACTAATATCTTTGAATTTCTCGAACTCGGCTTCGTTTCAGAGCCACACTCCTCCTAATTGAGAACCACTTCAGCACACTGAATAGCTTTGTCCATCTCCTCTGAGCTTTATCAGATATGGCGACAGCTGTGGAACGCGTCAACAAGAAGCCATCTACAGCGCTTTGTAGATCAGCTTGTGATTCTGAAATTATGTTCTGGGAATGAAGATCAGCATCAAAGAACTGTAGATTATCCTCATCAAATAAAGCATGAGCCATGGGATCTGTGTCACAGATCAGGGAGTTGGTGACTTGACCTGGGAAACTCAAAGTCTGGTCGTATCTAAGACCCAGGCCATCAATGTTGTGCAAGGCATAATCATCCAAGCCACTGGTGCTCCCCACAGAATAGATGGATGAGATGATATCTGGAGAAGAGACAGATGGGTGTGGATAATCAAATCCACCAACCTTTTGAGAAGCCAAAAACTTGCTTCCATCAGGATCATCTGCCCTTGGTGAGGTCGATGTGTGAAGAGCACCTCTAAGAGAGGCTTCATCATCAAACGGGATTACTTCTTCCCAGTGTTCGAAGGCAGAAATTACCAACTTCTGGCCATCAGCCTGGCAACAAAATTTGATCACAAAAAATCAGACATGACTAAGAAAATAAAATGGGATTATAAAAAAAAAAAATACATAAAGTAAACTGAGGTGATAGGTGGATTGCCTTTTGTGCTTCAGACAGCTTGCTAATAGGAACGTATTCACATTCCAAAAGTAGTCCCATCACTTGCCCCACAATGTTGAAGACCACACCGGTTCTCTGCTGTGAACTGGGAGGGCAGTACAAGTACATCCTCTTATCAAGTATACATGTCTGCGCATGCTCGACTGTGACTTCCCACATCTTAGCAGACATACCTGTGCCAAGGATCTGCATTTCCAGATAATAAAATATATAAAACTCTTATGGTCACTAGATTGAGACACATAACGCATCGTTTAAATGCAAAAGACACTAACTTCAAACTTATCAGTGTGAATTATAAAGCATTGAAAAATAAATTTAACCGAGATAAGAAAAGTCAATAATTACATTCCGAAGCCTTGAAGAGTCTATGAAGAGTAGGGTGAGAAAATCCTTCACAGTGTTGATGTTTTCCCGACTCAAACGCTTATGGAAAGCTCCGTCCTTGCCAATCTTTTCTAGTCTCCACACTTCATCAAGAAGAGATGGTGGGTGGTGTTTCTTGTACACTGCAGAACCAAAAGTAGCTCAGGTTATATAATAATGTATGTTTACTTGGGTTAGCTAATCCTAAATTTGAAGGCCATGAGCCATGCATGAAAATGTAACGAGTTATTTACATCAAATAGAAGTATCGAGTGAGCAAAAAATGAATGATTCTCACATTCTCCACGGTGATCCCTGACAATAAATGATTCTGTCTTTGCTTCTTTTATTCTAGTTCCATCAAATTTATCTAAAACTCTTGCTCCTAGCCTGAACCTACGGCTCCTTGTCCAGCTTGAATTATCTGTAAAAGAAATCTCACCCACAAGACCAACTCCATCTTTAAAATTCAGGACTGCGTCTCCTGTAAGAAGAGGTTTCTTTCCTTCTCTCTCTCTTACAATGTTATTCTTGAACTCTTCAAGTGTCCAATTGTCACCCTCGTCACCATCAAAATCACCCTCAAGAACAACTATTTCCACCTTGGCTGACGATTCAGGCCCAGATTTAACAACATGCCCAGTAAAGCAATCAACCAAAGCTACTTGTATAGTGGAGCATTCTTCTCCTTCAATTCGAGCTCCGGTAAATACCGGAAGAGAAAGATTATTTAAGAACTGTAGCTTTAAGATTCTTGATTCAGAAGGATGGGTTTCTTTCCCACAATTCCTGAATAGAAATGCAAAACATTAATCAACTATTACAATTGCAAGTGTGACAAACTAAATTAATATTGGCCATAAAGAGTTTCCTATATCCCAAGCTTTAGAGTATAATCTTACTGTTTCATACTGGTCAAATGCTTTCTTAGGGCCAACTCAACTTCCTCTTTAACCTGAAAATACATTAGATTCAATAAATAACAATTAATTGAAGCTGCAACACCCCAAAAAAAAACGAATGCATGTATTGAGTTGCAAGGTGGAAAAACAATAACAATATTACAATATAGAGTTTCAATTTGCAGACAGCATTGCGGTCCCATTGAACATGCTATTACAATTCAAATTGATAAAAACAAATAAACAAATAAAACACTAAGAAACTTCAGAGTACGTGAATCAATTTTATCTTGATATAGAAATGACACGTAGAAAAAATTGAGAGGAAACTAGCTGAAGGGCTCATAGACTCTTTGTATGGAAGGAGGATTATAAATGCCTATTCTATAATCATAAAATCTGTTCCTAGAAAAGGTTATGGTTCTTGAATGCCCAGTTTAGTCATCTCCCATGCCAGAGAAGCTAAAGTGGTATTGAAAGGGTTTCCCTCCTATGATCCTAAGTTCCATATCTAAATGGAAAACTGTGGCTCAGGAACATTGACCATTTGAAGCATTTTATGGTTAAAGTGAGTCCTTGGAAAGAAGAATGCAGCTCTCCCTCACTAGGCGGAAAGGACACCTGGTGTCAGGCTAGAGCAAGTGCGCTGCACCCTGCAAAGCATTGCGGTATCTTACACTTCCAATTCTTAAAAGTGATCAATTTAATTCATTGATATTAGTATATTCAGGTACTTATCAAGTTATATATATAATCACATATAACACCTATAAATATACAATATTGTTCTTCAATTACACAGTACTGCAGAAAAGTGTACATGGCTTAAGCTCGATGCTTTAAAAGGAAACACTTACAACTTTTCGAATCAAAGGCTCTAGAATTGGCTCCAGTAAATGCTGGACTGTGTTCAACTTCATCATTTCCAGAACCGCACTGAAAATCAATGGTACACAGTCATGAGAAAGAAACCAGATGTGAAAACTATCATTGTTCTGATGGATATCATAATTTATAAGAAACAAAAGGAGAATGTATGAGTCAGCTTGTGATTGAATAATCAATCCTGTTCCAGACATTGATATCAAACGTAAATCCGCTTCAGGGTTCAGACTCAATTAACAATAGCGACCCTTTAGGCCTTTATTCCCTCATTTTCTATATTGAATGTAAAGAACTTAACTTTTACTCAAAAACAACTGTTTCAATGTTCGATTTCCATTAACTTCGAGTAAATGCATTCATCTTTCACAAACAATGCACATTCATTCACTATTTCCAACTTATCGATGCTCTAATCACAGGGTTCACTTCTTACAAGGAATAAAGTTTTGGGAATTATAGAATCCATTTCGGACAAAACACATGCACCCAAATCGATTCTCCACGATATTATGCCAAAAGCAATGAAATTCAACACAAGCATCTCAATCAAATTTCACAAAAGCATCACTAAGCAAAACTCAATTCACTTCTAATCCAAAACTCCCACTTTTCCTAGGAAGAAATAAAATTTCATTGACACACAAGAGTGAGTAAAAATTCACCAACACTTTCACAAACCAAACGAAACCCAATTCATTTTATATCGAATATTTCCAGTTTGTAACGATAACCCAATAGAAACAAAGCAAAAAGAATCTGAAACAAGATAAAAAGGCTCATACTTGTGAAAAGTAGGAAGCCTTCTGCGTTTGTCCTCAGGACTGCCAGTCCCTTCTGATCGACCCTTACCATCTTCTTGGTGTCTCTTCTGCGACATTATCAAAAGCCCAGCAAGCACTACGGAGCAGTGGCTGTGTCACTGAACAAGCATGAACAACAACAACAGCCAAAAGCACCAACATGCGATAAGCAATAGTTATTCGAATAATTCCCCACGTATAAATAAGAGAGGAAAAGGGTTCATATAATAAATGGCAATCAATGAGAAAAGTCCAAAACTTGGCTCGAGTGCTTTTGCAGGCATTTACCTTTACATTATCAGAATTTGGCTGCGTCTGGGATGCTTCTTCTTCGACATGAACGATACTCAACAGCCATCTTTTTCTTTTTGTTTGTTTGTTTTTTTTCTTTTGCCTTCTCCAGTCCAGTGCCACGCGGAGGGGACACTCACTCGCAGGTGTAGATTAGGAGGGAGAGAGAGAGTGGTGGGGGAGGAGATGGCGCGTGGGGCCCACAATAGCGCGTTTAATGACTAGTAAAAGTGGGCCCCCTGGACATGGATTGCAATTGGTTTTTTATTGGCGTGTAAAATGGCACGGTGATGTGTAACTGAAATTAAAATGACTAAGCTTTGTTTGTGGGGTCCAATGGGTCCCGCTGGTTGGCATTGGATACTTGTTTTATCATGTGACATTTTAACCTATAAGAAAAACTAATTTTAAAAAAAACATTTTCAGAAAAGTATTGAGTATTTGTTCTTCCTCCAATTCTACAAACACAATTTCCAAATTTTTTTTTTTTTTTTTTATAAACATTTTCAGAAACGTATTGAGTGAGTACTTGGCCTACCAAACATTATCATACAAACACAATTTCCAAAACAAAACAAAAAAAATTATGAAAATATAAATAAACATTTTTTAAAAAAAAAGTATCAAATTATTCACAAAACTCCATACACCAATAATGTGAGGAAATTAACAAAAATTTCATTAAAAAAACTGTAATTTTCGACTACATGCTTTGCAGGTTCTATTGCTCATGAACTTAAACCCAGAAAGATAAAACATGAAGAAGGAGAAAGAAAAAAAAAACTATTATTTTTTCCACATGTTTTAGGTTGAACTGTTAAAAGATTCGGTAATCTAAACACGTGGTGGCATGAAAATAGCCTTTTCGATTAATATATACTAGCCTCTCCGCACGCGCTTCTGCGCTTGCGAGAGGTATTTTTTTAAAATTTAAAATTTTATTTTAAAATTAAAAAAGATAATGGGTAGTTGTGTTCCATAAAAATAGTATCCATTATCTGATTTTTCTTTTAATTTTAATTTTATTTAAATATGAAAAAGTGTGAATTTACCATATTATCCTCATTTAATTAATAAATTGAATTCTTAATGTTTGCATTAATTAAGAGCATATTTGGGGTTTTTGAATGTTTCACCATTCTCTGTCTTTTGCTTTATATATATAGAGATATATTATGTATGTATGATATATTAACGTCAAGTCCAGGACCGGAGAACAAGCTGCCACAACAATTAAAAACCTTCGATTTTTTCCACTTTAATATCGTTTGTCTTTATCTCGACCTCAATTTCATGAACTAGATTTTAACCTAAAGCTTAATTAACAAATAAGTAACGTTGTGACGAAGAAGACGACCCCATCATCATAATGTTCCCATGTATTTTTCGTCTGCTACAAAAAAAAAGTTGTCACATATCACAAGATCCTCATCCCATTTCCAGGAATCTTCCTCTCCTTCTGTACTAATTAGTACGTTTTGATTTTGAAGGATGTTACGAAACAGACTAGCATTCAAATCCCAAAATAATGCTTGTTGTCTTCTTATGACAACTTATAAACAAAAAAATTTGAGGTAGGCCAATTGATTAGGTTGAGAGTTCGTTTGTTTATACCGAAGTTCGAATCTTCCTCCCCGATAGAACTTTAGAGAGACGTGATTTAAGTTAGTTGATCAATGCAGTAAATTTGCCCTCTTTCACTCGAGTTCAAGTTTCCTTCCATAATTATATTAATTTAGAGTAATTTAGACTATGACCAAAAAAAGTTGGTTGAATAATTAAAAATGGTCTTTCTCCCATGGATAACGAGTACAATTTTGATGGAGAAGATAGTCATTGCACAAGTTAGTGTTTTTCACGTTCGTAATAGAAACAAGAAACAGCAATATGCCGATTGCCGGGAAATCTCTACTTTACCTCTGTGTTGAAAAATGTTGGCATCTTTACTTCTTTTTTGATGGGCCCGTGGGCAGATTTATTAAAATGATGGGGCCCATTTCGTTTCTTATACCTTTCTCGGGGACCAGCGGGCCTGTTGCCTGACGTGGGTCACGTGAGTGGTTATGAAAATCTAGAGCTTTGCCACTTGTCCACTTATCCACTTGGTGGGTTTGAATTTGTATAGCAGGTGAGGTGGGGGAGAGGAAGTGGGCCCATAGCAGCAAGTTACGTGCTATTGTGATATGATCATTTGAGAATATCTTTTAGGCATTAGTCAAATTAGTCAGTTTGAAATAAAAAGACTAAAGTTTTTGTTTTAATTTTAAAAACCATAGTTCTCAATCACATTAGTTTATTATTGCGAGCCACATGTGTATTGGGACTTGAGGCACGGTTCAGGATTAAAATATAATGACTCTTAGGTCGAGGATGCATGCGGCTTCATTGGGAGATCTATATGGACATGTTGAAAGTTTTTAAAAAATTTCCGAGAATTCTAATGGGGCTTTTGAAGAGATACACCGGAGGCCTATGTTATTGTTGGGCCTTGAGATTAGATTGAGAAAATGGGCTTGAGATGGAGGGTAATCCCTAAGGAATCCAGGGCCTATTTCTATTCCTGATGTAAGTTAACCTAAATTGGGCTCAATGCCCCCTTGCCTCCTTTATATGATATTTGGTGCATGATTGGGTTAAGTCTATGCCCGTAGTTCAAATGAAAGTCTGGGGCTATTCTTGTTGTATAGTCCCAAAATATTTGCATGACTGCAATCCTTCACTGCGTTATGACCAATTTACCAAACTTTTAAAAATAAATAAAAAAATATACATTTTCTATTGAGAGGGGCGAGCGATAGTATAACACACTATACGGATACTATGACTTGAACACAGGACATTTTCTGAGGGAGCAATTGTTTTAAACCACTACACTAGTTGGCTTTGCATTTACCGAACAATTTGAAGAGGGCATGTAAAATTGGTTTCAAACTCTGCTCCATTTGGTTTACATCATATTAATTCAATGATCCATGCGAAAATGAAGACCTTAATTTAAGAAGAAAAAACAAATGGTGGGTAATTGTGAGGATAATACCATAAACTAATACCAAATCTTCTACAGATCATCTAGCTCCCATCTTTCTTCTTCTTATTCCTTTAAGCTTAAGCTTAATTGCCCACTAAGCTTAAGCTTAGGGGCACTTGGTTTTGTTGCCATGGGTGGTCATGTCAGTGTAGCACTTGCCACAGAGTTCTCTGTTCCCAGAAGTGCCAGGTGGCACACACTTGCATCTCACACAGCACGTACCGCAAGCCCTGCTGCAAATCTTTGGCCTCGAGTGAACGCTGCACCTCTGCTTGCACAACCCTCCACAGTCTAAACAACACAAACAAGGCATTATATAAACTCAAAATTAATTAATTTTACTGTTTTATTTTTGCTATTTTATTTTGTCTTGTGCGTGTGGAAACAATCAACGGCAAGCAAGGTCAAGGAAAAATGATATAAACCAAACCAACCTATGTCTTGCATTAGCCTTCTGCTTCCACCTCTCACAACAAGCTGCAAACAAAAAAAAAACCCACAAACATTAATGTTTAATCATAAAACTAGAAAACAGAAGAGAAAAAATCTTTCCTTTAAAACATTTCAAACCAAAAAGAAAAAGGGCATGGATTTTTGTTTTCTTTGCCTGCCCAAGATGAGGTAATTGTTCTTCAGTCATGATATCAGATGAAACCTGCATGGATGAAGATCACACCTCAGTTAAACCAACCTCTAACATATAACTCATTTTTATTGTTTATTTTTCTTTAGATATGCAAAACCATAGAAACCAAACTAGTCTTCTGTACCTCAGTAAGGCAGAATAGAAAAACTCCCAGCAAAAGAACCACGCGTACTGCTGCCATGGCTATATGCCTATAGCAAGCTCTAGCTATCAGGCACCAGAGCTGAAGTGATGATATGAAACCCCAGCATCATGTTCTTTATAGAAGATCCCTGTGCACTGAATTTACTCAAGTGGACACTTCCTTTGCTTTTAATTACAGTTCGACCTTGCATGCAGAGGGGCAGCTACAGCTTTCTGCTGCACCATTATATTACAACTAATGCTACTTGTACAAAACCTCTCTTCTTTTTGTGCTCCTATAAACTACAACTTGTTTTTTGAAACTGTATTTTCTCAGGTAAATTTATGTCACGCCCTGTGTTCATAAATCTTAATGCTTTGCTGATTCATTCCGGACAGCTGGACGTATATGTTTTAGGTTAGCAAATCTGTGGTAGGCTACTATAGCAGCAATACAGCACTGTGGAAGCACAGTCACAGTCTGAGTCCTTTTCAAGGCCACGTGTCGATCTTCCATAGGGCGGTCATCGAGAGTTTGTCCTCTTACCCGGACCGAGCCCTCAGCAGAGGCAAAAACTTGCTGAGCTCAAAACTCATCAAATTGGGAAGTGGCACCAACTTTAGGGATGGGGTTTCCGTATTTTTTGGTTCTTTTTATGAATCCTTAAAGGGTTCCAGCTGGCCTTGTATTTGGGATGTACTTTAATTCACCAACCTCTGTTCCCACCTGGCTGTCACCCACCGTTTTGCCAACTACCCAACAATTATTAAGATTCTTGGTTTAGGGTTACTGCAGTAAATTTTATGTATATGTATATATATTGACAATGCGATATTCTAAATTACTCTAATTGAAAGTAAAACAAACTCGGGTGTAACAGACACACTGACTTGGTTGGACACCTCAACCTGGAAAGAAAATAAGAGATAGGCCTGAAAATTATATTGAAACCATTTCTTTCTGATTAATGATTAAGGCATGCATGGTATGTAACATGTTGTAGAGATGAAGAATGTAAGAGTAAAGGGGTTTAGGCAACTAAATTCACTCAAATAACAAATTAGTGAACCACTTCACCACCCAAAAACTTTAGACAGAGCTTTGTTCATATTTGGTACATTGCTTGAGAATCTGTATGGTAAACTCAACTGCGTACTGCTATTCACTTCTAAACCATGTTTTCCTAACCTCTCACCTTTCTTTCACACACGTGTATTTCTATAATCTGATCATTTTTCCAGTTACAGACTCATGGTTTTTTTACCAGGGAATCATCTGAACAACCATAGCCCGCAGTAGCCAGCCATGCTACACGATCTTCGTCTACAATTACTCGAGTCAACTCCACATTCATCATCTGTTAAACACCTGTGGTCACTACGAGCATCAGGGACATGGCAAGCACTCTCAACTTCTTGGCCGCTACATTCCCATGAATTCAATGTTGTAGGAGGACATACTTGCTTTGACATTGAACTTGTCCGTCGTGCTTGGTTTCCAGTCTGCACAAGTAAAAACATTTTTTCAAAAGTTAATGTTGGCTCAAAGGAAATCTGCAACCCAAAAAAAAAAAAAAAAACCTGGTGCATTTTCAGGAAGTATATATTCAGTTTGTTACGGATTGGTTTCCAGCTATAAAATACTATGCATGCCTTAGGTAGAAGCAACACCTTGAGAAGAGTCCGGTTAGTTTGGATGTAGGTCTCTGGAAGTCTGTCATGCCAACTGCTTAACACTGGAAGGGGGTGACCCTCAGTTGTGAAAATATAATTTTTTTCAACCAAAAAAGAATCATCGAACAGAAGAAATAGATACTTGCACCTATAAAAAACAAAATCATTTCAGATATATGTTAAAGTGAAACAATTTATGGCTCTGGGACAATTTTCTCTGTAGTTTCAAAGTGCAAAGGGAACAACTCTTACGTTTCAGCAAGGAAGAAACTATGCTGATGATCTTCCAACTGCATAGTTGTGACATCTCTAATGCTAGCAAAACCTCCATCCACTTTTGTGTATAAGTTCAGAGAATTTACAATTGATTCTCCCACTTCTATGTACCACGGATCTGATTACATGCAACACAGAAACAAATATGACGCAAACAAATCAGAAAGTTAAAAGGAGCAGCTAAGGGCCTTGCTACAATTCGCAGAAGGGTTCTTTTATTTTTTGTTCCTTATAACATCTTGATTAAAAGCAACTAGCATCTGAGAGTACTGAAATGTCTGAATGCTTATAAAAGATCGCCCGGAAATTTAGGTCCATGTAAAATTGAAGACAACTAATAAGGAAAAATATCAGACCTTTGGTTGCTTGATACAAGTAGAATGTTGATTCTGCCAATTCAGGGCGCAGGGGATAATATTTTTCTGTGGGATGCAACATTTGATGGTCCAACAAATATCTATATGATTACAGTTCATATTAGACAATTTTCATTTTTTCCCTTATGAAAAGAAATACTGCAGCAACAGGAACCAGCCATAGAAACTAAGAAACAAGTCAATAGTTACCTACAGACTATAAGATTAGAGTCTATAATGAGAAAAAGGATTTTGAAAAGCAGAATACCTCTCTGGTAGTACTCCATACTTTTTCCATACATAGACGAACTCACGGTGTGATGAATTTGCAGCTGCAATATCACCAACAAGAACCTATAACCATAGTTTATATCTAAAGATTAGAAGGCTCTTTCCGAGGTTTGAAGTCATCATCAAGTAAAATGACAAGGTTTTAAATTCCCTGCCTGTAGGCCAGGCCAAAATGCCTGAAGGCTTGTCAGCTGCCAATAAGTTGCTTTTCCTGTCCTCATATCAGCTTCATGGTACCTAATTACAGTAACATGCTTGATCACAAAAATGTTGCAGTCCACTCATCTCAATTTAAACGTATAGCTAGAGTTCAATTTTTTAACACTTTCAAAGTACCAATAAAAAATTGAATAAGGCTAGGGGAGGTAGTGCTGTACCATGGACCATGTCTGAAATATTTCTGCACAGCAATATAAGCAGAATGAAACATTCTCCAGAACTCCTCCTTTCCAAAAAGAATGTGGGCCTTAAATAGATACTCATAAAATGAATCAACCCCTAAATGAAGCAACACATAATCCAACATCAGAAACATCACACTCTATGCATTCCAGATGCAACAAGGAATGCTTTTTAATGGTGTGCATCACAGCAATTCATCATTGACAGACTGCCAAAGGAAATATTGGCCTGTGCGCTATTTGGGAAAGCCAATAGACTACGTAGCATATAATGTATTACGTTGAAAACCTCAAAGCCCTCAGAAAACCTACCAGCCCCAATCCCAGATGAATACTCAATCCATTCCCCAGTTGATACATCCAATGTTGTACCAAGTAAATTCAACGAACTCCGCATGCTCCATAATTTACGAAGAGCACGTAAAGCTGCAGATTCGTATTTGGGGTCTCCAGTCAATCGGGATAATGCTCCCATTTCCAGAATTAGAGAACCTGAACTCATACAGAGAATCACGACATTCAGGAATGCACATTTATTGATGTCCTCATCTCAATACTGCAAAAGAAAGCCTCTCACCACACCCTGAAGTGCTTGTTTCAGTAGTCTCATTCTCCATCACTCCATACTGTCCACAGAATTTTGCATTGATGCGGAGTCATATATCCTTCTTACAAACAAAACCACCAGACCGTTTTCATATAATTTTAAAACTCGAAAGGTGAATTCTTGAAAAGATTTTGTAAAAAAGTACACCTAACTGTATTTTAGACTGATGATAACAATTTGGAAATAATCATATCATGCATACACCCCAAAAATCAAAATGTAATTCGTAATTGGACCTCAGCATGTCTCAGGTAGTACCTTTAAGTTAACCCATGCATATGGCAAACCAGTGGGTGTGTTAAATGCAGGTAGAAAGCGTTTCCCCAAATCCTCAGCCAAAGTAAGCAGCTGATTTTTGTAAACTCCTTTACCCAACCTGTCCGTGGAATCAGTCGCAAGTAGGTGAGCAGAAACAAGTCCTCCAAGCACTCTTATGTTGCACTGCACAATAGCAAGTAAATGGAAAAGAGAACCATTATAAAACTTCAAGTACATAACTTGACGACAATAACAGTAGCTACATCACATTTTGAGCAATCTGAAGGTACGAGAATAATGAAGTTCTAGGATCAGCATAACTTAACCAAAATAATTTTTTTCCACAAGCTCTTGAACAGATACCTCAAAAAGATTTACCCTCGCATCGACATTAAACGTTAAATTTTCGGAAAGCCAAACGACTGCGCTTTGAAATTCAGTGTTGTTACCCATAATGACAAGGCTGAGAGAAAGTTTTTGCATCAGAATGAAACAAAAAAGTACATCAAATGGAACAGAAAGCATATATATTTAAATTGCAGAACTGTATCTGTGACAACAAATTGGTTGATAGAAAACCTGGATAATGATTCTATAAGTGTAAGAGCAGATCCACTATAGTCTTGAGGTAGGCGTTCAAGCTGAAATAGGGGAAACAAACACTTCAATTTACTTTTGGAACTAATCATAATTCACTTTATCTGCAGATATATAGTTACCTTCAGATTTCCAAGCTCACTAAGAGAGTCCGTGAAACTTTTACTGAGAGGCTTTAGCTCATCATGCTGCAAAGAATTAATAGTTACTATATCATTCACCAGAAGTGCATAATCTGAAAGAACAATGGAGGAGAAAAGCTAACCGGAAATGCATGGATCATGTAGTTGTCATATGCATGGTAAAACCTGAAAGGAGAGAAACAACATTCCTGTTAGAACCTTGTTACATGCACAGGAAAATTCACCTAAGGCTTGACCATTATAAACAAATTTTCAGGCGATATTCATAACATGTATTCGCTCCAAATTGACCAGCATCCTTCAAAGCTTGAACATAAAAAGAAAAAAATGCGAAAAATTATATATAAAAAAACTAATTGAGCCTTTCTGTTGTTTCGTTTTCTTAAGAAATCTATTTCAGCCGAGGCAAACCAAATAGCTGGGAATGCCTTAATTTCCACAAGCCCAATACTTCAAGATCTTAAATTTATATTTCCATCAATATTTGATCAACCAAATACCAAATGAAGCATCAAATATCAGTCCCACCAAGCAGTTATCTTCACTTTTGTCAAATATCCATACTTTTTCAAAGTTAAAATAAAAAGAAGCCGTTTTTTTTCTTTTTCCCTACAGACCAACTAATTGGTACTCGTTAAGCTAAGCTGAAATCTCAGATTTGTGAGCAAATCACAGATAGCCATCAAACTACATTGAAAAATAATGAAGAATTGACGAAACTGAAAGAAAAAGAACCAAGGCAGTGAAGGTGAAATTTGACATTACATTTTGTGGACTTTATCTCTGAGGCGTCTCTTCTTAGCTGCCCAACGAGCATCAGGGACTTTATCTCTGAGGCGTCTCTTCTTAGCTGCCCAACGAGCATCAGATTGCGAGGTCGATAAGTTTATGATGGCGGGAGAGAGCAGCAGGAGCAGCAGAACCCATGTCATAGATTTGCGCGGCAACATGACCGTTGCTCAATTGGGATGCCTAACGAGAGATGCAGAGAAAGTCTCTCACCTGAGCTTTGCGTTTCAGGCGATTGCTGAAGACGGGTACTGTCGTGCCAGTATTAGAAAAAGAGTCCATTGATTGACTTCCACGTAAGCAAATAAAGAACAGGTGGAATTATTTGATTGGTGAGAGAGTGTCATCATTTTTATTTAAAAAATCAGTTTCATAATTATATTTCGATGAAATTTAAATCCGAGAATAATAAAATAAATACAATTTAAATCTTAGTTAATTTCATAAAGATGAGCATAAAAATAGATGTGACAAAATTGAGTTTAGACTAGATTGGTCCTCTACCAAACCTTGAGCCACAATGGCATAAATTGGAGAAATTATAAAATACTATGATAATATGGTCACGTGTTATATCTTGTACATATGTTATAATAAGAGTGGACAACATTGTTTATTTCCCCTTTTTTAAGGAATAGTATCAATAAAAATTCACTTTTATTATAACCACGTATACAAGATAGAGCACATGACCGTACATCATATGCTATAGGAACTAATTGCACGAGCTAAGCTAGCCCGATGAGACCAATAGCAAAGTCAAGATTGAGAACGGGGAAGGTTGAATGTTTAAAGGGGTGACTACAAGAAAACCGTTCAGAAGACACTGGGTTCTATTAGTCTCTTTTGTGTTTTAGTAACACGAAAATGACAATGCTTATTGTAGTATTAAGGAAGTTGCTATCTGGAAAATGGGGGCCAAGACTTGTGGCCTACAAAATTTGCTTGTGATTTTTGGTAAGTTCTAAACATATTTGCATAGAGCAATATTTAGGTAGCTCTTGCAATTTTGTAAATATGTGATAGTTTTTCTTGGTTATTTATAATTCATAAGTTAATGCCTAAGTTAGGAAAAAAGTTGTTTTGGAGACGGTTGATGGGCAATATATTCGTCTGAGACGGTTGATACAATCTAACCTTAGATAATCTTGACGACAATCAATAAAGCTTCCTAACCAGAATCAGGTGGCAGCTGTTCTCTCCGGTCCAACGCACTCCTCGCTCGAAATAAAAAAAATCCATCTCTATATGCAAAAATAGCATGCTAATTTAAAAAAAAAAATTAAAAAAAGAAAAGAAACAAGGACGTCTTTTCCTTTCAACCCGTCCTTTGCATGCATGGTAGGTGTAATAATAGCACATCAGATCCCCTGAAACCCCTCCCATCCACAGAACATCTCCACCACCTTATTCCCCCCCTTCCCTCCATTTCTCTCAAACCCTATTACATAATTTGCCTTCACTTTCCTATCTCCATTGAGGAAAACATCTCTCAGGGGAAGAACCAGGTCTCCTCAAGCCCTGATCTTCCTCTGTCATCATCTATCTCTCTCTCCAAAATCAACCATGGCTGTTCCTATACTTCTCCTCCTCCTCTTCTTCTCCATCCCCTTCTCCGAATCTAAGCTCAACGAAGACTACTACAAGCAAACATGTCCAGACTTCCAGAAAATTGTAAGAGAAACCGCGACCTTAAAGCAAGCCGCCCAACCCGCCACCGCTGCCGGCACTCTCCGCCTCTTCTTCCACGACTGCATGGTAGAGGGATGCGACGCCTCTGTCTTCATCGCCTCCAACCATGTCAACAAAGCTGAGCGCGACGCCGACATCAACCAATCCCTGTCAGGTGACGCCTTCGAGGTGGTCGTCCGGGCGAAGACTGCGCTCGAGCTCACCTGCCCGGGAATTGTCTCGTGCGCGGACATTCTCGCGGAGGCCACCCGTGACCTCATCACAATTGTCGGCGGGCCTTTCTACCCCGTCAAATTAGGAAGAAAAGATGGACATGTGTCCCTAGCGTCCAAGGTTGATGCAAACTTGCCAAAAACAAACCAAACCATGGATGAGATTATCAAGCTATTTGCTGACAAAGGTTTCACAATCGAAGAAATGGTGGCTTTGACCGGTGGACACACAATTGGGTTTTCTCATTGCAAAGAGTTCACCGATAGGCTTTTCCATTACAGCCCGACTACACCAACAGACCCAGAAATCAACCCAAGATTCGCCGAAGGGTTGAAGAAGATTTGTGCTAACTACACAACTAGCCCTGCCATGTCTGCCTTCAACGACGTCATCACACCCGGCAAGTTTGACAACATATATTATCAGAATTTGAAGAGGGGGTTGGGGCTGTTGTCTTCGGACCACGCACTTGTCAAGGACCAAAGAACACGGCCTTTGGTGGAGTTGTACTCTACGAACCAGGAAGTGTTTTTCAAGGCTTTTTCTCACGCAATGGAGAAGCTTGGCCATCATGAGATCAAGACCGGACAACAGGGTGAGGTGAGGCGCAGGTGTGACGCGTTTAACGCGATTAAGGCTTAGATTGTTTGATGAAGAAGATGAAGATGATGAGATGAGATGAGATGATTGTTGTTTGTTAAGGGTTTTCATTTGGCCATGGTATATATAAATTCGTCACTTCAGAACAAGGGAGAGTTTTTAAATCTTTTTTCTTAATTCTCTTTCATATATGTGTCGTGATGATGATGATGATGATGATGGTACACGTTCATGATTATATGATATTTGAGTATATATCACTCTCCATCGGGTTTAATTAGGAGTTGCCATGACCAATATATATATATATATATATGTGATAGGCTATATCTCTCAAATTGACAATAATGTCATCTCAAAATCAAAACTTATTAATTAAAATGTTTATTAGTAAATTACAGGATTTGATCTCTATCTAGAGAAGATAATAAGTATAAAATATTGATGAAATCAAATAATTAGCAGGGAAATTGAAAAAGAAAAAAAAAACTCACACACCGCAATTGCATTAACAAAACTTTGTTAGAAACAAGGGACTCGCACTTTCTTGCTTTCATCTACATCAGATGTTGCATGATACAGAGATATATATACATATACACACATGATTTTTGAACAAAAAGACTGAGCTAATCCATTGCTAATCCTTCTCAGTTTTCAGACATGACATATACCATTAAGATGTGTTGCTTATAAAGGCAGGGGGAAAACGCACTAACAGGCACATCACACAGATCTAAAAGAAAGTGGTCCCTGAAAAACATCATCTTTTTACAGACTAACTATAAACATCATCTTTGCATAAACATCAGCATGCATGACAAATTTGAACGTCAAAAGAATTGCATCAATCAATGCATGCATGAGCTTGGAATCGTCATACTACGTACGTATACTCACCCGGAAAATCATCTCTCAAGAAGTTGGAACATCAAAAAACACAAGTCACCGATCATCCATTTCCACCAGCGTCAATCCCCATATTGCAGAGTATATATATAATATATATATATATGTGCTGTTTTTTCATTAGCTTTTTAATTTCGAAAGGGGAAAATATAGAAACTTTTGGGAACAAAAGTTGAAATGGTTTTGAATAAAACGAATCTAATTAACAGTAAAGCGACGAACAGCTAAGTAAGTCAATGTAAATACCAGCCTCAGGCCAAAGAAAAGCACCCACAAACCGAGTTGTAGTTTCTAACAAGATCAGTTGCTTTTTTCAGCTGTAGATACTTCTATTCAGTTACAATTACAGCTCAAAGTTGGTACTTGTTAGTCAGTTTTTTATCACACTTCATTAAAACAGTTTGTACTATATTTTGTATAAATACACACCCCTTCTTTTTCAGTACTCTTCAATCATTCAACAAAAGACATGCTTGGTTTCCTATAGCATTAATAACAAGACAAAGGAAGATCATTTCTTCCTCCTCCTCGTCATCATCATCTATCATCTCTCATCTCTTTCTCCAGCAATGGCTCTTCCAGTACTTCTTCTCCTTCTCTTCATCACAATCCCCTTCTCAGAATCCAAACTCTCCATGGAATACTACAAAAAAACATGCCCCGATTTGGAAAGCATTGTACGTGACACCGTGACCTTAAAACAAATGGCCAACCCCACCACCGCCGCCGGCACTCTCCGCCTCTTCTTCCACGACTGCATGGTCGAAGGCTGCGACGCCTCCATTCTCATCTCCTCCAACCACATCAACATCGCAGAGCGCGATGCCGACATCAACCATTCCCTCTCCGGGGACGCCTTGGAGGTCGTGGCACGTGCCAAGACTGCCCTCGAGCTCACCTGCCCCGGCATTGTCTCCTGCTCCGACATCCTCGCCCTAGCCACACGCAACCTCATCACCATGGTCGGCGGCCCGTTTTACAACGTTCGCTTGGGACGAAAAGACGGAAAGGTTTCTCAAGCTTCAAGAGTGGAAGCCAATCTCATCAGAAGCAACCGAACCATGGAGGACATCATCAACTACTTCACGGTTAAAGGCTTCACGATCGAAGAGATGGTGGCTTTGAGTGGTGGACACACAATTGGATTCTCCCATTGCAAAGAATTCGCGGACAGAATTTTCAATTACAACAGAACCACACCAACAGATCCTGAAATGTACCCAAAGTTTGCTGAAGGGCTGAAGAAAACTTGTACCAACTATCAAACAAACACCGCCATGTCTGCTTTCAATGACGTAATTACACCGGGGAAGTTTGATAATATGTATTATCTGAATCTAAAGAGAGGGTTGGGGCTGTTGTCTTCGGACCATGCACTTGTTAAGGATCCGAGGACGAGGCCGTTTGTGGACTTGTACGCTGCCGACCAGGCTGCTTTCTTCAAGGCTTTTGCTCATGCGATGGAGAAGCTTGCCCATCAGGGAGTTAAGACTGGCCGCAAGGGTGAGGTCAGGCACAAGTGTGATGCGTTCAACTTCATTCAGGCTTAGAAGAAGATTGTTGTCAGCCACGATTGAATTCACCAGGCAACAAGAGAGAGAGTTTTTTTATTTGTTTTTATTTATCATTTTACATATGATTCATTGTATCAAGATGATTATAATGATGATATATGCATGATTATATGATATTTGAGAAGTTTGCCATATTTATAATACAAATAATTTCATTGAAAGAAGTAAATGGTTAATTTCTTTTTAAAACTCAATTTTATTGTTTTTAAGAGTTGAGTCTCATTGAACTTAAAATTATTCTTAGAAATGATAAACTCCAAACATCCAAATTGTTAAATATGAACAACAATCTATTTTTTAAGGTGCTTAGATTCTTTAGTCAATAGACAGTTTGGAATTATACATGGTACCGTGCTTCTCATTTCACTTTAAATGCAATTCAGGCTAATTTTTCATTGTTAGAAAGAAAAAAAAAACATTGAAGTGGCACAAAATATTCATGTCCAATCGTAAAATGATTGTGAATGTTAGGTAGGATAATTAACGTCATCCCAGCTGCAGTCTTAGACTAACTGGATCGGGCCCATTTATATTTTTTATTTGTTTGTTTATTTTGTGGGGGTCAAACTTGTATTTGTTTGGTTTAGTCAATGGACTATATCAACGTCTCTACTTCTGTTCGTAAATAAAAACAATTTTTTTTATTTTATAAAAGAAGGTATAAGTTTTACTATTTTAAAAAGGGGTGGCACAAAGTTTGTATCACCAATTGGACCACCGCCGGCCACCACTCTCGGCCTACGACTCCACTTTGGACCAAGAGATATATAACCAACCAAGTTAGGCTTTACTTCTTGCTTATCTTGAGATGTTATTCTCAACATAAGCCCTATTCTTCAACATCAATTTAAATCATTTTTCTTTTTTTTTGCACAAATTATCATTTTATGTTATCAAATTAGAAAATAATTCTTCACTAATTAAAAATTTTCTTATTAAATTAAAAAAAAAAGTTGAAACTACATTATATAATTATTGTTCATTATTCTTTTCCCATATTCTTTTGTATTGCTATTTCGTTTTTTGTTTCCATTTTTTGTTTCCTTCTTTCTTAGTTTTCTTGGCCATTGATTTCATATCATCACCAGAACATATCCAATTTTCTTAGTTTATTTGAATTACATTAATTCTTTCTATGTTGCTTGGTTCAGCGTTTCCAAAACAAAATTCAAAATCACTCACTAAATCCAAAACCAAAATTAGCCTGATATGATATTCTTATTACTAAACTATAATATGACTTATACATGAGATGAGTGTATTAATTCACACGCGCTTATTCCATCATTCCTGCTCCATGTATTTAAATCCCATTTCATGTTGGTTTTGGTATTGGATCACATTCAGTACTCCACGTTATATGAACCATATCGTTGGCTATCTTTATTGTTGTTGATAGTTTGTAACGCAGAACAACTCATGTTGGGAATATTTGTAGTTAATTTCCTCCAATATTTAACTCAATATAAACGATTTTATGAAATTGTGAAATGAGAACCAATAATCTATTACTTAAGATCTTTGAACACTTTAGTCAATAAATCGTTTCATATCACCTTTAAATACAATTCATGTTAATTTTTTATTGTAAGAAAAAAATTGGAGAGACACAAAATATTCATGTCCAATGTTGTAAAATGAATGATTGTGATTGTTAGGTAGGATGAATGATTGTGATTGTTAGGTAGGATGTATTTCATAGCAGAAGTGTTTGAGAAAAATAACACAAGTTTTGGACATTGCATGCGTCAAATCCTGAGAATTAACTTCATCTCAACTAGACTAATGAGCATGCTATGAAAAATAAATAACTTTCTCCATGGATTGAATTCACCAGAGAAGTGTTTGAGAAAAATAACACAAGTTTTGGACATTGCATGCATGCGTCAAATCCTGAGAATTAAGAGAAGATAGTTTTTATTTATTATTTTTACATAGAATTCAATGTATCATGATGATTATAATGAGGATATCTTCATGATTATATGATATTTGGGAAGTTTGCCATATTTATAATACAAATAATTTCATTGAAAGAAGGAAATGGCTAATTTCTTTTTAAAACTATAAGAGTTGACCCTAATAGAACTTAATATTCTTTTCCATTTATATAAATAGTTGTTTACATTCCAACATGCAAGTACTATTGTTAGCTGATTTTTCCTATAGTACAAATTAAAAACTCCAAAAGCTTAATGGATGTTTATCATATTTTGATTAGAGATTAGGCATGTTGACATTAATACTTGCATATTAGTTTAAAAGCTTATTCTTCTCAATTAAGAAAATTAATTGCTAACAACTCTGTCCGAAATTGCTCGCTGAAACCAAACATAGGTACTCTCTCACTCAGACTTTATTACTAGCTCTATAAATACGCGAATAGTTTTCATTTTAAATATATTTTGGTTATGGTTCTTTGAAACATCCATGCACAGTTAGTCTCTGTTTTGTGTGTAAACTCTCAGACTTTTCTCCGCTGAAAAAAGATTCTCATCAATTTCAGGTATTCTATCGCTTCAAACTCCATTACTATCTGTCTCCCTAAATTTTTTGAAGTCTCTATTTTCTTTTTATTTTGGTTGTCAGAAAATACCTCTACAAAGAAAGCTCTGTTTCATAGCAAATCTCTAACTATTTCTATCAAATTTTTTTTAAATTTGTTTCTGTATTTTCTTTCAGTATGTCGTATGATATTCCAACATTTGCGAATGGTGTCTTTGCGGTGATGACATGCAAACGCCTCTTGGTGAGAAAAGAACTTCTACTA